TGGAGCAGCCAAGACACGAACCGGCGCCCATATGGTATCCTGGCATATGCAAGGCGAGATTAGCCACTAGGCTACTGTACCAGGCCTGTGGTTGGAGTTTTGAATCCAGTGTTACAGTTGGGTGGGTCTCCAAAGAAACCTTGCCAGAGGTGACCCCAGACCTGACTCCTGTGTGTACCAGCCAATGAAGGGTCCGGCTGTCTGTCACCCACTTCAGTCTACACATGCTGGTAGTTGCTGTTCTGTCCCCAGCCCCATCTCGTACCCAGTGAATGGTGTGGCCCAGCCCAACCCTACCCACCACTCTGCCTCATGCACACCAACAGGAACTACAGGCCTAGTTGGAGCTACCTACAATAAACCCTACCAGGTCTACCCCGAGCTCCAGTTTGGCATGCCAGTATATGCAGCCTATTGGTCCACTGTGTCCCGCATCCTGTTTGGCTCTCATACGTATCAATGGGTGCTGCAGCCTAACCCAGCCCCACTATCCAGCCCACAATTGTGCTGGTGGGTGCTACCACCTGTGCAGCCGGGCCCACCCCCAGCACTGGTTCTCATACTCACCAGTGGGAACTGCAGTGTGTCAGAGGGTTGCCCTCGATTTCCCTAGGTCCACTCTTAGCCCTAGATCTTGCTGTTTCCAGGTAGCTCTGGGGTCTGACCTGACAGGACTTGCCCCTAGTCTTAATACCTGCTAGCTGATGATGACCTGATGATGCAGCAAAGCCCAGCCAGCCCACACTGATTCTGGTTGATTATTGCATCAGTGGGTATGGTCACTTAGCCCAGCCTGGTCAGCTCCCATTCCCAGCTCTCACAGTCACCAGCAGGAGCAGTGCCCAGCAGGGAGCTCCTGCAACCCTCCACCCTCTCCATCATGCTCGCTTCACCGCTTGATAGGTGTTACTGTGGCCTCATCTTGGCGTTCCTCAGTAGGTGCTGCAGCCTGGCTTGTGTCAGCCTTCCTCTAGTTCCAGCTCATATTGGTGGGTGTTGGAGCCTAGCCTGGCCCAGCCAGCCACTAGTCCTGGCCCTGATGTGCGCTGCCTGGTGTTGTGGCCCAGCCTGGCCTGTTCCACACCCAGTCCTGGCTCTCAGATCTGCCAGTGGGTGTTATAAACTGTTGTAACTTGAGTCTGTCTGGGCTGCTCCAGCACACTCACCTACACTCAGGGATTGCTTCCTGAGAGGGAGTTCCCCAAGCTCCTCTATCAGGTCATCTCCCAGTGGCAGATCCCATGCACAGGGGGTCCTTGGCCCAGCCTGACTTGGCTCACCTCCTGTCCTGGCAGGCACAGCAGCATTGTCTGACTGGCCCACTCTTACTCCAGGTCTTAGCTTTGGGTGTTACAATCTAGCTCTAGCTGGCTCACCCTAGATTCAGCTCTCAGTTGACTTAGCAGGAGCCTAGACCTAGCCCAACACATAGACAACATGGGTCCTACTACCCATGTTGGCTCTCATGAGTACAATCGGGTGCTGAGGGCCTAGCCCAGTTTGGCACACCCCACACTCATGCCAAGGGATGCTGCAGCCATGTCCATTTCACCACCCCTATTCTGGCTATCTCTATGGGAACCTCAGCCCAACCAGGGCATCCCCTTAGCTTCCCGACCAGACTTGCTCTCAGCCAGAGATTGTTCACATGCCAGTGGTTGCTTCAACCAAGCCCAGCATAACTCATCCCCGTCTTGGCCTTGGCCATCAGATGCTGCAACCTGGCCTGGCCTGGCCTGCTCCCAGTCCCAACTCTCACTGATGGGTGCTGCTGCCTAATCCTGCCCAGGATTCCCCTATCCCTGGCTGTTATTCAGAATGATAAGCATGATAGTCCTGCATGCCATCCTTGCTCCTGCTCATGCCAGTGTGCTATGGTTTGGCTCAGTCCTGCCCAGTCCGCCACCACCCCCACAGAGCCAGCCCGCAACCTGCTGACCCACAGAGCAGCCTTGCCCAGTCTGACTAACACCCAGCCCTGACTCACATGCTCACCAGTGGGAACTGTTGCCTGCCAGGAGAGTTTCCCCACGAGACCCACTCCCAGACCCAGATCTCATCCATCCCAGCGGCTGTTAGACCCTTACCTGGCATATTCTGCCCCCACAGAATTGGCCTTTATACGTGCCAGTGAATGTTGCAGCCCAGCCCACCCTACACCCAGTTCTTGCATACGCTAGCGGGTGCTGCACAGGCCACAGATTTCTAAGTGGGTGATTACGAGAAAAGATTACAGAAGGGACATTTTCTGGAGCCTGTGTTATGGCACAGTGGTTTAAATGTTTCTCCTGTGATGCTGGCATCCCATGGGATTGACAGTTTGAGTGCTACATCCTCCACTTATCTAATTCCCTGCTGTGTGCCTGAGAAAGTAATGGAAAATGGCCTGAGTAGTTGGGTCCCTGCCACACATGTGAGAGACCCAGATGGAATTCCAGGCTCCTGGCTTAAGCTGGGCCCGGCCCTGGCAGTTGTAATCACTTGGGAGCCAGCAGAAAGATCTTTCTGCCGCTGTCCCTCTCTCATTATAAGTCGATTTTCAAATTAAAAAAAATTTTTTTGAAGGAACGTTTTCCCTGTCTTTTTGTTTAAAGATTTATTTTTTTTTTATTGCAAAGTCAGTTACATAGAGGAGGAGAGACAGAGGAAGATCTTCATCCACTGATTCACTTCTCAAGTGGCCACAACTGCCAGAGCTGAGCCGATCCAAAGCCAGGAACCAGGACCCTCTTGTGGGTCTCCCAAGGGGGTACAGGGTCCCAAGGCATTGGGCCTTCCTTGACTGCTTTCCAAGGCAACAAGTAGGGAGCTGGATGGGAAATAGGGCCACTTGGATTAGAATTGGAGCCCATATGGGATCCCAATGTTTTCAAGGCAAGGACTTTAGCTGCTAGGCTGCCATGCTGGGCCCTTTCCTATTTCTATGCCTGTGGGTAGGCACCTTGCCTGTCTTAACTCAGTGCAGTCATCAGCTCCATGTTGCAGAGACAAGCAGCAGGGCTCGGGGCTGGGCCCCCTTGGCTCTGGGTCACATGGCCAGCAGGTGGCGGAGCAGGCCCACAGCGACACCTCTGGCCATTCTGTGTCGTTACTCCCCATCTGCAGTCATAACTGTGTGGTAGGAGTCCTCCTTTGCCCCACCTCCAACCCTCACTTTTCTGCTACTCTCAGACTCTACCCACACTGGGTTTTGGGGTGATGGAACAGTCAGGCTTGAAGCAGTTCCTTTCCAGGACCAGCCAGGGGCCTTGTTCTTGTAGAGCTTGCTTCTGAGTTGACACAGGGAAAGCCTGGCTCAGCTCCCCAGGACAGCCTCAGACCCTCAGAGCGTGGGCTGTTCAGGGCCAGAAGATGACTGTGGCGTGTGTTGGCACAGCATGCTTGCTGGAGAAGAGGCACTGTAAGCAGTCTCTAAGGAAAGCCTTGAATCGGCCTGTGTGTGGAAACCTGGATACATGCAGTATGCAGAGAGCCTTGGGAAAATGCGAGAACCCTGAATTGTCTGGGTTGTTTTGCTTTGTGGATGCTTTTTTGCTTTTTTAAGATTTATGTGTTTTTATTGGAAAGGCAGGTTTACAGAGAGGAGAGACAGAGATCTTCCATCCACTGGTTAGCTCCCTGAACAGGTGAAACAGTTAGAGCTGAGCTGATCCAAAGCTAGGAGCCAGAAGCTTCCTCTGGGTTTCCACTGCAAGTGCAGGGTCCCAAGGCTTTGAGCTGTCCTCGACTGCTTTCCCAGGCCACAAGCAGGGAGCTGGATCAGAAGTGAGGCTGCCGGGACACAAACTGGCCCCTATATGAGATCCCAGGCTCGGAGATGGAGGATGAGCCAGTTGAACCATTGCACCAGCCCCTGCATTGAGCCTTTCTCTGGATGAATTGGGGGGAAATATTTGTGCTCTGAAAGAGAAGATAATGTTAGCCTAAGACTTCTTGGTTACCATTGTAAAATCGGTCAGAAATATCACATCTTTGAGCTAGCACTGTTGTGTAGCACATTAAACCTCTGCCAGCGGCACTAACATACCATCTGGGTGCTCGTTCAAATCTTGGCTGCTCCATTCCAGCTTCCTGCTAATGGTCTAATGGTCTGTGATGGCAGTGGAGGACAGCCAAAATCCTTGGCCTCTGCACCCACATAGGAGGCCTGGAAGAAACTCCGGGCTCTTGATTTCTGCCCAGCCAAGCACTAGCCAATATAGCCATCTGGGGAGTGAACAGTGGATGCAAAATCCCTCTCTGTCCCCTACTCTGTAATTCTGCCTTTCAAATAAAAATTAACAAGATCTTTTTAAAGAAAGCTCAGCTATGGGCCCGGCATGGTAGCCAAATGGCTAAAGTCCTCGCCTTGTACACTCTGGGATCCCATCTGAGCGCCAGTTCTAATCCCGGTAGCCTCGCTTCCCATCCAGCTCCCTGCCTGTGGCCTGAGAAAGCAGGATGGCCCAAAGCCTTGGGACCCTGCACCTGAGTGGGAGACCTGGAAGAAACTCCTGGTTTCTGGCTTCAGATCGGTGCAGCTCTGGCCGCTGCGGCCACTTGGAGAGTGAATCAACAAATGAAAGATCTTCCTCTCTGTCTCCTCTCTGTATATCTGGCTTTCCAATAAAAATAGTAAAAAAAATAAAGGAAAGAAAAAAAAACTCAGCTATTAAAAGGAAGCAGAGCAACCGGACACAAACTGGTTCCCATATGGGCTACCTGCATCACAGATGACATCTTACCAACTGTGCTGTAACGCACAGTGTCAGTCCCAGGAGCTCACATCTCAGAGCGAGTTTGGCTGATTGGGAATCACTGCAGGCTTTTGACTCAAGATGGACGGCTCCAGGAGAGCTTACTGTGGAAGCCCAGGGATGTGAGTTCCCCTCTGTGTGGACCAGGGGCCGGGACTGTAGGAGAGGGAGGAGGTGGAGCTGTGTGGACCATATTAGCTCTCTTTGGCTTGTACACGTTTCCTGTCCTGGCTCCTGACATGTCCTTTTCTATCCCTTCTGTAGCCATCGTCAGCCAGTGGCAGCAGGAGTCCAAAGAGAAGGTGGTGTCCCTCCTGTTGTCCCACCTGCCCCTGCTTCAACCAGGCAACACGGAAGCCAAGTCGGAATATATGAGGCTTCTGCAGAAAGTTCTGGCCTATTCGATCGAGAGCAATGCCTTCATTGAGGAAAGCCGCCAGCTGCTCTCCTATGCTCTCATCCACCCAGCCACCACCCTGGAAGACCGCAACGCGCTGGCCCTCTGGCTGAGCCACCTCGAGGAGCGGCTGGCCAGCAGCTTCCGTGCCCGGCCAGAGCCCTCCTACCACTCGCGCCAGAGCTCAGATGAGTGGGGGGGCCCTGCAGAGCTGGGCCCTGGAGAGGCAGGGCCAGGCTGGCAGGAAAAGCCACCCCGGGAAAATGGACACGTGCCCTTCCACCCAGCTAGCTCGGTGCCGCCAGCCATCAACAATGTTGGGAGCAGCGCCAACACAGGTGAGGACGAGGCTCTGCCCGCTGGCCCGAGGCCAGCCTGGACTCTGACTTGGCGCCCCTGTGTGGGGGGGGAGCCGCAGAGAGCCCAAAGCTGTGTCTCACCTGATTATATCTACCCTTTAATTTTATGGTATTTTCAAATAAATTTGGTAATAGGAGAAATCACAGCTTTCCCCCTAAAAGTCAGATTTCCAGCTTCTTTTAAAGTTAAAAAAACAAAAAAAGATCTGGTGACTCGAAGCCTTGGTCTTGGTGTCAGTGAGAGGGAGCCAACACTCAGCCACCCCTTTAAGCCCTCCCAGTTACATGCTCCAAAGCCCCCTGCTCCCACCGCCTCCAGGTGGGTACTCCCAGGACCTGCTGACCATCAAGGGTGTGGGTTTATGATCCCTCCTGGAGGACTCAGCACTGTTTCGTGAGGTCCCTTCAGCCTTGGCCGTGCTGGACTTTATCTGGCCTCTTTACAGCCTTGTTTCTGAGAACTCTGTAAAGCGTTCTGTGTGAGATGCTTGCTGTGACGTAACATTGCTGTGCGTTTGAAGGTGCTAAGTGGTCTTCTCAGCACTTTTTAGATACAGTCCCATTAAATCCTCGTCACAGTCACATTATTGCTAGCTTCAGTTGAAAGACAAGTAGGCGGGACTCACATAAGTGGTCGTGTTACGTAGTCAAAGCTACATAGAGTAAAAGGTGCAGCTGGCCGAGGTTCAGACCTAAGCAGGTACCGGAGCCTGCCTCCGACTGCTGTGCCGTCCTCCCAGCTGCGGACTTGAAAGGCTCTTGTGAGGGTCACCTGGAGTTGGAGGTGACCGTTTGGTATCCCAGTGAGTTTCTGAAATGTTGGTTGAAGTGCACAGCATGAGGGAAACTGGCTTCTCTGATCCTGATAAGCTAGCATGCCTGAGCAAGGCGAGGGGTCCAGGCTTCATCTTGGAGATGTCAGCCCCCCTGTGGGCAGGCGTTGGGTAAAGCAGGACAGGAGCATGACTAGGGATGGTCATGTGTGCCAGCAGATGGGAGGAAGCTCCTTGTGCCCCGTGCCAATCTATTCCCCAGTTCCTGAGCCTGCCTCTGTCCCAGGACTGACAAGAAGCTGAGAAGAAGGAGGCGAATGCTTTCCCAGGAGCTGTGACAACCTGTACCGGCTTGGATCTTGTTTTCTAGAATTGGAAACTTGCCGGTCTCACCGGGTTGGGAGGATACATTCAACCATAGTTCTGCTGAGCACTTGGTCTTGCTAGGCGCTATCGTGAGAACTTCAGGGAGAGACTTCAGAAATTTCGTTGCAAAATGAAATCGAAAGATAAGGTCTTTTTGGTGTAAACATTTCTAAAATCCCTGCTTGGTTTTTTCATGACACACTTTGGAACCGCAGCCGCGAGGTCCAGGCAGTTCCGTTGCACAGCACTTGCCCTTGTTTGCCATGCTGCCTGACTCACCTGAGGTGACCAGGCAAGCTCAACCTCGCCCTGGTAGCACAGCCTCTCAGTGTCTTCCTTCCTGCCCCTCCAGAGCTCCCCGTGATTGGGCCCCCTAAAGCTGCTTAAAGGCCAAGCCTGAAAATGTTGGAGACTCCTTTGGACCCAAAGGAAATCGGGCATCACTTGTGTCCTGCGGTGGCAAATTACAGAGGGCACAGGATGGAGACAGATGTGGCTGGCATAGGTTTGAGTGAGAAATCATGGCAGCAGATGTTTGTAAATGACCCTTCCACTGAGGACTTCTATAGAAATGGAAGGGGCAGGTGAAGAGACTTGTCCAAAATCACGTGGTTGGTGCTGTCAGTCAGGATTTGAGCTCAGTATGTTAGGGCTGCATTTAGGGGTGTGGCTAAGGGGCACCTAGATGAAGGACCAAACAAGGCTTTTGATTTTCACATAGTTGCCGAAAACAGGAAACCATTGAAATGTCTTTTGAGTGGAGAGCAAGGATTGGCCTGTGAACGTGGGCATTGTGGGTTTGGGGTGCTGCCAAGGACAGAGCAGGGGTTTTTGGAGAGTGTGAGGTCCTGGATCGCAGACCGGCACTTCTGTTTTGTAACTCTCAGGCAGTGGCCAGCCTCTGCCTTTGGTAGGGCCCAGCAGGCTACTCGGGAACTACATGATTGTTCCAATCAGGATAATTGCCTGTGCCCTCAGCCTTGCCTGCCCCCTTCTTAGCTGAGAAGGAAGGATGAGGCCATAGGTGCCAGGAGAGGCAGAAAGACCTGCATCAAAGGTTGCTGGCCCCATGAGCTCCGAGTCTGCTATCTTTGTCAGGGTGTCCTGAGCAGGGCCAGCAGCCTGGGCTGAGGGAGTCCACAGGCTTGGTAGGAGATCTGAAGACCCCAGAGGGAGGCAGTGGCCTCTCCCTCAGGTGCCTTCCTTGCTCCAAGTATCAATACTGTCAACAGAAGTTGGAAGACTGGTCTTGCCTCCTAGGCCAATGACAGCAGAGCCCTGGCAGGTACCTAAGCCTTTCTGTCAGAAACCAGGCCGGGGTACCCTGACTTCTGCCCAGCCTCTTAAAGGACCACAGCTCCGTGGGCCTTGCTGCCCTTCCCTGCCCAGAGTGAATCCTTTTCCCCTTCTCTTGGCTCAGAGGTCCCTTGCACCCCTTGTTCTGTGGAACTTGCTGGAGGGCTCGTGGGTCATATCACGCCCAATCCTGGGGATGCAGAAATGATGGGTTGGCTGGACGTGGCATCCTCTGGAGCCCACAGGCAGACTGGGGAGGACAGTGAGCACCAGACTCGAGGTGGCACGGGGGATGCCTGAGTGAGGCATGAAGGTGGAAGTGGTGCAAGGAAGGGTGGGAGAAGAGAGAGCTGGATTGTGGGAATGGTGTATTTATTGGTCTGGGAGTTCATGGTGTCCAGCCTGTCGTGAGAGAGGTTAAGTATGACGTGGGAGCCCTCTGCCACCTCAGAAATGCGGCGGACAGAGGGAGTGACCTCCCTGTGGAACAGGGCCACACACAGGAGCCGGTCCAAGCTCAGTGCAGAAGAGTGCGGGGAGCAGCCCCTGCACTCCATTCCTGAGCCTCTGAAGCTGCTCCTCCAGGCCAGCCGCCCCGTCATTGCTGAGAAGGTGTAATGTTTAAAACGGGATGGGCCCTGCCATAACACATCTGCCAGTGCAGGGAGAGCAGTTGATAAGTAAACAAAGTATTTAAAAGCATTTGCAGTTGTGGTGGGTGTTGTAACAAAGGTGAAATAGGATAATGTGACAGAGTAGCTGGGACATTGACGGGGAAGGGCCACCCTCAGGATGCTTGAAGAGAGTCAGCAACTGAGATCGGAGGAGAAAGAGCAAGGCCTGATGCCTGAGGCTGGAACAAGCTTGGTGTTCCAGGAGCAAATGAGGGTTGCAGTTGATTATGGGAGAGAGGGGCAAGGATTAGCAAGGGGCAGGGCTCACCTGCCTTTTGGGCATATGACAGAGTTTGATTTTTGTGCTCAGCATGAAAAGAAGCCATGGGATTTTATGCAGAGGAGCACTTTGGTCCTGTTTGTGGTTTTGGAAGGATCAGTGTGGGTGCAGTAAGGCCATTAGACTACAGGAAATAGTGGGTGTTGGGGTGAGGGAATGAGCGGCGTCAGTGGGGTGGTGGGCAGGTTTTCTTAGACCCAGCGTCCCTTTCCCGGGAGGCTGATGGGGCCGAGCCACTGTCCTGATCCTGGCCATAGGGTCTGTGATCTGCACTCAGATCCCTAAGCCTGACTTCCTGTTTCTCTCACCTCTGGTTAGGTCTCCCCTGCCAAATCCAGCCCAGCCCGCTGAAGCGCTCCATGTCACTCATCCCCACGAGCCCCCAGGCCCCTGGGGAGTGGCCGAGTCCAGAGGAGCTTGGCGCCCGGGCTGCCTTCAGCACGCCCGACCACGCTCCCCTCTCGCCCCAGAGCAGCGTGGCATCCTCCGGCAGTGAGCAGACGGAGGAGCAGGGCTGCAGCCGCAACACGTTCCAGGAGGACGGCAGCGGCATGAAAGGTACAGCAGGGCAGCCCTGGGACTGACAGCTGAGGGCTGCCAGCCTCCTGCCCTGCTTGGCAGGGGACAGGCCTGAGGGAAGGAACTCAGCACGGCAGAGATCCCACAGCTAGTGGCACACGGGGCCCAGTTCGCAGGGAAGCTGAAGCTCCAGGACTTTGAGGAGGTCAGGGAGGCTGACCTGGTACACATCCAGCCGAGAGCTCGGGGTCTGAGCCCCTGCCCGGGGGAGGCTGCCCAGACGGGACAGCTGAGTAGGCCGAGGAGTAGCCCGTGGACTCTGGGCTTTCCCACCCCACCCCACCCCCGGCCCGGATTCCCTGCAGCTTTAAAGACTGCCCGTAGTTTTGACCTGGACCCAGTGCTGACCTTCACTCTCCCTCCTTTCTCAGATGTACCCTCGTGGCTCAAGAGCCTCCGCTTGCACAAGTACGCGGCCCTTTTCTCACAGATGAGCTACGAGGAGATGATGACACTGACCGAGCAACACCTGGAGTCTCAGGTGAAGCCTGCTGTGGCAGTCCCCTGGCAGCCAGAGCCACCCCTCCCCTGTGGCTTTGATCCCTAGGGGAACACCTCCCAAGTCCCCCAGCCTTCCAGCTCCAACATCCTGTCCCCCTCTGCCCTCAACACAGAATGTCACCAAAGGGGCTCGCCACAAGATAGCCCTGAGCATCCAGAAGCTGCGTGAGCGGCAGAGCGTCCTCAAGTCCCTGGAAAAGGTGAGGGGGCCTGAACCCTGGGCAGCCAGCCTGCAGGGTGGCACAAGGGCCCCTCCTTGGGCAGCCAGTCTCCAGGGTTCACTTGCAGGGTGGCACGAAGGCCCCTCACTGGCTGTCTTGATTTGTGGTCCCTCTCTTTCCTCACTGCCTCGTCTTTCTTCACTTGACTGACTGACTGGGCTTCCCAGTAGAGCTGTGTCCCCGTGTGCACCATGTCTTCAGTTTGGGTTGTTTCTGTCCACACAGTCTCATTCCGCATCTGCCTTGATTTGCATTCTTTTTTTCTCCTTTGTTTGCCTTCGCTGCTTCTTCCCCTTCCATGTTTTGGCCCAGATTTCTGAGCTTCACCTTAAGGCGAGAGGGGAATGTGTGTGTGTGTGCCTGTCAGCGCACAGCCTGCAGTACTCCTGCATGACCTGTCTTCTCTGTGGGCCAGAACCCCACATCCTTCCCATGCCTCGCTGTCTGACCCAGGGCCTAGCTGTGAGGCCTGCCTGAGACCCGGAGCTGTGCCCAGAGCTGTGCCCTTCCCCGCAGGACGTGCTGGAAGGTGGGAATCTGCGAAATGCCCTGCAGGAGCTGCAGCAGATCATCATCACCCCCATCAAAGCCTACAGTGTCCTCCAGGCCACGGTGGCTGCCGCTGCTGCTGCTGCCAGCCCTGCTGCCAAGGATGGCAGCCGGGGGGAGCTGCCTGGTGCTGAGCCTCCCCCAGCCCATCCAGGCGCAGACAAGGGCACCGAGGTCACGGACCCTCCAGCTGCCGAGAGCTACCCCCCTCCACCAGCTCCGGCTCCCACCGATGGCAGTGAGCCAGCCCCGGCTCCCGTCGCCGACGGAGACATCCCCAGCCAGTTTACACGGGTGATGGGCAAAGGTGAGACCAGCTGAGCCTCACGGGAATCCTGAGGACAGGCATTAGGGATCAAGCCCGTGTAGATGGTGGGAGCAGGACTAAGGGGACAGGCTTCTGCCCTCGGGCCTGCTCGGCCTGATGCTAACATGCTGGCCAGTGAGAGGAACCAAGGGGCCCCGGGGCCAAGTTTGGCATGTGATGGCGCTCACCATGGGGTCAGCACAGCACAGCTGGCTTCGTGTTTGGGTCCAGATCTTCGTAGCTATTGGAGCAGCAACAAGTGACTGGACCTGACTGAGGCTTAGTGTCTCCTCAGAGAAGTCAGCTAGATTGTTGTTATGCCTTCATCGCTGTCGCACACAAGGCGCTGTGGCCAGCGCTATGCGTGTGCTCGTAGCCCTGTGCGTCCAGCCTGCAGCCACAGCATGGCGGGCCTGCTGGCTGACTCCTGCCCTCTCCCCTCCAGTGTGCACCCAGCTGCTGGTGTCCCGACCAGATGAAGAGAACATCACCAGTTACCTCCAGCTCATCGAAAAGTGCCTGACTCATGAGGTGAGGCCTCTGCTAGGCTCTCCCGGGGCCAGCGGCACCCCTGCTGGCCTGGCATAGCTCCCCTTCTCAGCCTCTCTCCTCTCCAGAGCCAGGCCTCTGCTCAGCCCTCCGTGCTCAGTCAAACCTATGTAAACACACTGGGATGGAGCGCCTAACTCCTGGCCCTGCCCTGGCTCTTAAAGACATTTAAGGACTGAGCCAGCAGAAAGATCTCTCTGAGACTCTGTCTTTGAAATAAATAAAAGAGATCTTTAAAATATATACATACATACATACCTCTGGGAAGGCCTCGCCAGCCCTTAGCTGTTGCTGCAGGTTCCTGCTCCCTCACAGGACTGCCAGAAAAGCTTGTCTTAGCCATCACTGCCCTGCAGAGAGCCGGCCTGCCCGACGGCTGGGGCAGAGGTGTGCTTCCCCAACACCTCCCCTCCGCTATCTCCAGGCTTTCACAGAGACACAGAAGAAACGGCTGCTGTCCTGGAAACAGCAAGTGCTGAAGCTGCTCCGGACATTCCCACGCAAAGCCACGCTGGAAATGCAGAACTACCGGCAGCAGAAAGGGTGGGCAGCGGCCTCGCTGGGCCTGCATTTGGGAGTAGCCTGGGAATCAGCTGGTGCCCGCCCAGTCACACGTTGGCCTTAGCACATCACCCAGGGAAGACCTGCTCCTCCCAGGAGTGCTGAGCGCTGAGCTGCCAGCCAGCGTGCCTGGGCCCCAAGTAACAGCTGCACCCCAGGGACCCTGAATCGGGAGGAGACAGTATGAGAAGGCAGGGACTCCTTTCTCAGAGCCAGATGAGGTTCCGTTCTAGCTGATGGGGTTAGAGGGAAGGGAAGGCCGACATGAAGGCCTGGGCAGCTAGCCTACCCTCTTTAACTCCTTTGTCTTCTGCTCTCTCACAGCTGGGCCTTTGGCTCCAACTCACTCCCCATAGCTGGTTCTGTGGGGATGGGAGTGGCTCGGCGGACCCAGCGCCAGTTTCCAATGCCTCCCCGGGCCTTGCCACCTGGCCGGATGGGCCTCCTGAGCCCCTCGGGCATCGCGGGCGTCTCCCCTCGACATGCCCTTACCAGCCCCAGCCTTGGGGGCCAAGGCCGACAGGTGAGCTGACTGGGAGCAGAGGCCCTGAGGCCGCTGGAGTTGAGGCAGTTCCTGGGATACGTGCCTTACCTCTGCTTGACTCCATCTGGGGAAGGGGGCTTCTGGGCCTCCTCCCCTGCTCATCCCCTCTTTCCTCTCCCTGTGCAGAACTTGTGGTTTGCCAACCCTGGAGGTAGCAACAGCATGCCCAGCCAGAGCCGCAGCTCCGTGCAACGCACCCACTCGCTCCCGGTCCACTCATCACCCCAGGCCATTCTCATGTTCCCTCCAGGTGAGGCACCCCAGCCCAGGCTCAGCTGGCCCTTCTCGACGGAGGACATGTCCCCTTGCTTCCTGCCAGGCTGCGCCTCTCTCCCCCTCTTCTTTCCTTCTCTAGGGAGAGGTGGAGGATGTGTGTCTCATCTCTCACCCCTGTTTCCTGCTTCACTTCTTTCTCCCTGTCGTTGTTACTGTGTTGGCCTCTGTCTGCTTCTCTGTGTGTATCAGTTTGGAAGGCTTTGGCAGGGGCACCAAGGTCCGTCAGCACACCCTGTGAGGCCAGGCGCCTGGGCTTAGAGAAACTTCTAAAAAACCAACAGGTGTTTTCCTTCTGCTCACAAACTGACCTGGGCGCTGGGAACAGACAAGCGCTGAGTGGGCACAGGGTAATGCATGGTTGGCTCCTCCACCAGTTGGGCCTGTGGGGCAGAAACAGGGTGTTCTGGACTGGGCTGTTTCTATTAAGATCTCAGATTGCAGAAGACCCTAAGCTGTTGGTGTCACAAACCACCGTACTTTGGGGGTTGCATTTATGAGATGCTGTGACTGCCAGTGTGTGGCATGCAGTAGATGTCTAAATGCTTGTACCCTGGGAGCATAGAAGGAGGCAGGTTGCGTGTGTGATGCTGTGAGAGCCCAGGGTTCTGACAGGGTGAGGGGAGTGCACAGCAGTTGACACCCAGGTTGGAGGCTCCAGTTCCCTCCCAGTGCTAATGAAGATCTGAGGCTGGGTTTCACCAGTATGAGCTGGGGGTCAAGCCCTCCCAGGCACCTTGGTGTTGTGCCATGGCTGCTGTCCTGCCTTGTCCTGCCTGCCCAGTTGCCATCCGGCCCCAAGTAAGGAACGGGGAGGGTTTCACCTCAGCCTCTGTGCCAAGTATAGAGCAGGTCATCAGGGAGTGTGGAGGGTCTGGGGCACGTGCTAGATGGCAACACAGTGCATTGTCCACGGGCACAACTGTCATGGCACAGGTGTGGCCCCGAGTACTGCCTGTGTCAGCAGGTCGGGCTCTGTGCATGCCGCACCTCTGCCCTTCTTCTGCCCAGGTAACATCTGCCATCCCAGCATGTGGATCTTGCAGGCTCTTATTTCTGTCTTGCCTTGCTGCCCACCCACCAGGCACTGTCTGGCTCTCCTCTGCACCGCAGTTGGTCCTCACCACCCTCGTTTGTCTTGCTTTCTCCCCACAGACTGCCCAGTCCCTGGGCCCGACCTGGAGATCAATCCCACCCTGGAGTCCCTGTGTCTGAGCATGACAGAGCACGCTTTGGGGGGTGAGCATTTCCTCTTTCCCTGACCCAGCTCCGCCCACCCAGTGTCTCCTCTCCACAGAGAAGCCTCACTGGGGAGCCCACTGGGGGGGACAGGCTATGAGAGGGCCTTTTCTCAGGCTTGTGCCAGCTCCTGATCTCCACCCCCCTCCCCTTTCTTGTCACAGATGGGACAGACAAAACCTCCACCATCTGACAGGACCCACAGCCCAGCGCACCCATAGGCTCCCTGGGCGGCGGGCGGGGGCCGACCCCCAACAGGCTTCTCCGCGACAGCGAGGGGGGCTGGCTCAGCTATACATTCTAATATTTTTCTACTCTCTCACCCTTTTAACTTTTGTTTAACATTGGCACTCGCCTTGCTCATGCCCAAGCCCATCGAAGGGTCTCTGCCGAGGCTGGGGGAGGTGGGAGGGAGCAGCCAGACTGCCAGCCCCTGCCTGGCCTCCCTCGTGCCCACCCGGCCCCGGCCATGGCCCCCTGCCCTTCCCCACGGGAGCAGACTCCCTCCAAGACAAACTGACCACTACCTTGTGGAGTTGCTCAGACCGCTGACCCCGGGCAGCATGAGCAGCGGAGCTGACCTGCTCTCCAGGCGGTCCACTTCCCTCCCACTCCCCAAGGACAGGAGCCACCTTCCTCTCCGCCTCCCCCTCCCCCTTTGCCCTGTTTATCAGAGGTTCTCTACAATTAATTTCTTAGGCCTATTTAAGATGCATATTTATATAGTTCTTAACGGTTTTTCTCTCTGATCATTCCCTCTCATTTTTAGACTCCCCAGGCCTCTCCCAGAGCCACGATGGTGGCAGGGGTAGCCTGAACTTGCAGAGGAGAGGGCAGAGCCCCCTCCTCTAGACCCCATGCCCTTCCCTGGCCCCCCGGCCCTGGCTCCCCAGATGTGAAGGTTGAAGGTGGGCAGCCAGTGAGGTCAGGAAGTCTGTTGCCTTAACATCCCCTTCCCCAGGAATACACACACCCTTCTCCCCTCCCAGGTCTGGCTGGTAAAAGACTTGGGGGTAAGGAATGAGGGAAAGGGGATTGTTTGGTTTTGGGTTTTTGGGTTTTTCTCCTGCCCTCCCCTTTTTTTTCCACACCCACCCTAATTATGTCATGACCTCACTTCCGTGGAACACTATGTCATAACCCAGAGATTCGCCCCGCCCCAGTCTCAGACCCTCCAGGCCCTGTTCCTGATGAGGGGTTGTCAGGGGGAAGGGGCTTGGGGGCTCAGACTGGGGAAGCCAGGGTTCCCCTTTTCTCCCCGCTAACTCACCTACCCCCTCACTGGGACATTCATTCTCAAGCTTTTCACACCGAAAAGAAAAAAAAAATGTTATTTTTAGATACATTTTATGAATAACTTTTGTTATGAATATGGCTGGTAACCATTGTGTATGTTATTAAAGATACAAAATGTTGGGAAAAAACAAAAAACCAAAAAAAAAAAAAATTTGAAGACCACCACCCCCTGCACTATCACCCCATCCCCCAGACCTCTTTGGCCCTGTCCTGGTCTGTGGTCCTCCCTGCGCCCTGCACCCAGGCGCGGAGAGGAAACCAGGGGGTGGGGTGGCCCTGGGGACCTGCCTCTGGGTCCCCCTCTCCTCTCCCAGTGCCGGGCTGGGTGGGGCGTCAGGTTTATTTATGTACCTCTTGCACACTCATCAACCTATGCAAGCCCCCCACCCCGGCCCCTCCATGTTCTGTGCCTTGCTCCTTCCCCTCCAGCTCCCGGGCCTCCTCCAGCACCCCCGGCCCAGGCCGCGGGGAGGTGGGGTGGATGGCAGCAGGGTGACCCTGTGTACAGGCTCTGCCCCCCCACCAGCCGGGAGGAACACCCGCCCCCACACCCAGGGAGGCGCGAGCTGCCCCTCCCCAGCTGCCAGCAGAGTGGCAGGACGCAGGCGGCCCCACTCTGACGGGCGGGACCCTGAGCCTCCCCAGCCCCAGCCCATCCCCTCCATGAGTTCACCCTCCCACCCACTTCTGTCCCCAGTCCCACTGGCAGAATCAGCTTCGAGTAACTGTACAGTTTTTCTCGCTGTTGGAGAAGACTTATTTGTTGGAGTTTCACTTGTTTAATGGTCTGGGCTTATTTTGGAAAAAAAAATCAAAACAAAACAAAAAAAGGCATTGTGACCTTTGTTACGCTGCATGTCCCTGGGAACCCTTGGCAGCCGCGGCCGCTCGCCGTGCTCGATACCTCGACCTGGGGTGCTCAGAGCTGGGGGCGGGGTGCGGAGGGCACGGAGCGAGACCTTGGGCTGTCGGGATGGCTGAGTACGTGGCTTTATTCACAGTAAAGGTTTGGGGGGACAACATGAGGGGCTCCCCAAGTAGACCACTAGAAAAGTGCCTTCCTGCTCCCTCCCACGGGGTCCGCGCCAGCCTTGGGGGCTCAGTCACTGTCGCTGTCGGCCTCACTGGAGTCTGAAGCGGCTGCCTCGCTGCCGTCCTCCTGGGCCGAGTGCTCACTGCCACTGCGGAAGGGACTGGCGCTGCGACTGCGCTGCCCGCCCGCTTCACTGCCGCTGTCTGAGTCATTGTCACTGCCACCACGGGCTCGGCCTCTGTCCTCCTCGTCTGAGTCTGCATCGTCCTCAGAGTCAGCATCGCTGCCGAAGATCTCCTCCTTGTCGCGGGCGGCTCGCGCCTCGTCTTCGCTGCTCTCGTCCTCGCCGCTCCCGCTCTTGTCGCTGGCCTCTTCCCGGTCGCCCTCCTCTCGGTCGCTCTCGCTGCCTGACCGCTCGTCCTCGCTGCCCTCCTTCTCACTGCTGCTGCCTTTCTCCGGCTCCTCATCTGTCACGGAGCCGAGCCCTGTGAGGCACAGCCCATCGCCCCCCACCGCCCCACCCGGAGAACCGCCCAGCCTCCCTTACCTGAGCCCCCGGCCTCTTTCTCTTCCGTTTCCATCTCTTCCTCCTCTTCTTCCTCGGGTTCGTGGTTTTCCAGCTGGGCCTTGCGTGCTTCCTGGAAGCAGCAGCATTGGGATGGGGCAATGAAGGCGCTAGGCCAGGCCCTGTCCCTCTCCTTGCCCACCAGGGCCCCGGGCAGCAGAGCCTCTTACCTGGGCTTCTAGTTCCTTCTCGTTCATGTCGCGGTGCTTGACCACAAGCAGGGCATTGGTGCCTGACTGCACCCCGGCCTTGGCCCGACGCTTACTGAGGCGGACCCTAGGGTGGTGAGGTGGGGAGGAATGAAAAATGCCATCAAAACGAGACGTGGTTCCCTCTCGACATGTGGGCCCCAGCGAACCAGGACCAATAGGGACTGTGGGGAGACTACCTCAAGGGCTTGGGGGCAGGGAGGATGGCAGCGCTCAAAGCACCAGGTTGCCCTGTGCCACGTGCTTCTTCCAAAAGGTGGTGGGAAACAATTAAAAGATTAATTTGGTACAAAAAAATTGAAATCTGTACTTTTTTTAGAATATTCATTTTCCATGAACTATCTCAATATCCTGCATATGCATAGATTTCAAGATTTTTTTTGGCACCAAAATAAACACTCTAATCCCATATTCCATGGATTTTTCAAGTACCCTTTGTGTGCAGGCGTGCGCATGTGCAAATGTCAAGCAGTTTCTGGCCTTGAAGAACTGTAACTTGCTCACAGCGGCCCATCCCCATGGGTGGGGCGTGGTGCTCCCCAAGCAGCCAGGGAGCTCTGGGTGGCCTAGATCCCCTGGCCTCCACGTTTCTCACGTCCCGTGGGATTCTATCATCTCTGCTTCCCAGACAAGAGTCTGGCCCTCCCAAATCAGGCACCCCAGGGTGCCTGCGGCCAGCAGGGCAGTGCTGCGGAGTCCTGCTGGAAACATTCACGCTGGTTTCCTCTATGTCTCCCTACGTGGATGGGGCTGGGTTTGCTTTTACATGAAGTCTCCTGCCAGCGAACCTGGCCGTCCACCCTCACAAAAGCTCTGACCATTCCGAATGGCCTGCCTACAGATGGCCCCGGCTCCTCTGACGGTCAGCCATGAGCAGTACCTGGTCTCCAGCTCGTTGTAGTAAACACCGTCACCCTCACGGAATATGAAGAAATAGTTCTCCTCGTAGCCTTTGCTCGCTTTGTTCTTCACGTTCCAGTTATATTCCCGAGCGATCTTGTAGTCGTACCTGAGCGGGCAGGGCAACGAGGCATCCTGCTGAGCCCCAGCCCTGGCCCCTCCCAGGAGCCCCCAGCCTGGCTCCGCCCACATACACATCATCTGGCGCATAGTCCATCTCCTCCTCCTGGTCCCGTTTGCGTTTCTTCAGCGTCTCCTCCACTGGCAGGAAATAGGCCACGAACTGGTTCCCTTCCTCGTCCATCATACCCCTGGGTCGGGAGAAGTACTGGGTCAGCGACGGCAGAGAAAAGGGCCGTGGGGGAGTGCAGCTGGGCGGCCAGCAGGCCCGCTCACCTGATCATAGCCTGAGACATCATCTCCAAGGCAGCAGCACCACTGGTGTCCTTGGGGGCCGGGTCAGAATCAAAGATGACCTGGGCACAAGGGTTGATCCACATCTGCGGAAGAGTTGCAGAGGTAACAGGTCAGACCAGAATAGGCCACCATGATGGGTCACCATCGCTGTGTGCCACCCTCCCCCTGACCTTGAAGTCTGGGAAGACAGGCATGACCTCCACGGGCGTCACCCGGGGCTTGCTGTAGTGCTGGGAGATCTAGTGGGAAGAGATCAACGTGAAAGGGATGAACTCGGGCTGCACACGGTCCACCTCCCTCCACTCCGGTCCCTTCGTTACTGATTTCTGGGCATCCTCAAACGTCTTCTCGATGGCGGTGATCTGGCTGTCCCTGTCCTTGTATATCTCCTCCTCGGTGAACTGCTGCTTCACAGAGACACCAATCCTGGGAGGGGGGAGCAAGACCTGCTAGGAGCCCCGGGCCCTCCACAGCCCGCACCTTCCCTGGCTTGCCGGGGTGAGCCAAGGGGACGTACTTGACCTCTGGCTTCTCATTGGAGATGCCGTAACGATTGAACTCGGTGGAGATGTACTCGGTCTTGCGCATCCATGGCACCACCTTGGCATGCTGCTGGGACCTGAGTGAGAAAGGCCACCTCAAGAACCCACCGCCCTCCTGCCCTTGGGGCCACCTCAGCCTGTCTCCTGGATCCCCACCCTGCAACCTTTACCTCTTGGAGCTGGTCGGGGCCTGGATCTCCTCTTCCAGAAGCTTCTCATCAGCTGGATCGAGGAGAACTAGAGGGGAGTGAGGAGACAGAGGAGACTAAGTGAGACCCAGGCCTGGCCCGGCCGAGCTAGGGCAGCCCCGTCCCGTGTCCCCACGCACCATTGGGGTCGATGCGGTAGGTGTCGGGGTTGATGAGGTCGATGGTGACCCCCAGGTCTGGCTCGGTCAGCAGGTCATGTTTGTGCTGTTTCTCCAAGGATGTCGCTTTGTATTGGACAAACCTGGACAGGAGGAGCACGCCCAGGGCGGGTTCGGGTTTGCTTCCCGGGGGGGCCACCGCTGCCACGAGGGACACGAGGGAGCCGGACCCCCGATGGGCAGTCGGTGCCCTCAGCGGGGAGTCCCCCTCTGGGGTGGTCTCACCTGTTCTGGTCGAAGGGGTAGGTGATGAACTTGGGGTCGAAGGGAATGTCGGGGAGGCTGTTGCAGTACTTGACTCGGCAGACCACTCCGGACCTGGGGACCCAGCAGCTCAGAACTGCCCCCCTGCCCCCCAGGCGCCCCCCACCCTGGCCCTGGGCGCAGCAGAGAGGGGCTCACCGCTCAGGCAGCGTCCGGTGGGAGTTGGGCCTGAAGGGGGAAAGAGGAAACGTGCTAGCACGGCGGGCTGACAGGTGCCAGGCCTTGTAAGGACCCGCAGCCCCGTTCGTCCCGGGGGGCGTCCCTGACGTCACGGCCCGACCCCGGAGGGGCTGTGACGTCGCAGCCGCCTCCCCCTCCCCGAAGCACAGCGCGGAGCCTACCGGTGGCCGTCCTCCCGCTGGGCCTGGGTCTGAATGGTGGGCGCCATAGCGCCGAGGCGACGGCGGCCGGGGGGACGCGAAGGGGCGTGCGGGCGGGCCGAGCCGGGCTGTCGAGCCTGAGGAAGACGCGGAGCTCCCGGACCCTCCAACCGCCGCCGGGGACGCTGAGGCTCCGACAGGCGCCTCAGGCCGCGAGGCCTTTAGGGAAACAGAGTCCGCGTCCAAGCCGCGCGCGGATTGGCCAACGCGGGGGAAGAGGGCGGAACGGTGGGCAGAGCCCTCCTGTGATTGGTCGCAGGACATTTCCATCTGGGGGTGGAGCTTGCGAAGAGCAAGTCCCTCCCTCTTCTCCTATTGGCTTACTCTCGGGAGGCGGAACCCAACTAGCTCATGAAGTCCTTAGAGAGACACGCGTGTGACGCACTTCCGGGGCTCTGAGCGTGCAAGATGGCTGCCTCCCAGCAGCAGGCTGCGGGAGCCTCCTCGGCCGCGGGGGTGTCCGGGCCCGGTTCGGCCGGCGGCCCGGGGCCTCAGCAGCCGCCGCAGCCGCCGGCACAGCTGGTGGGATCATCGCAGAGCGGGCTGCTGCAGCAGCAGCAGCAGGACTTCGATCCTGTGCAGCGCTACAAGATGCTGATCCCGCAGCTGAAGGAGAGTCTGCAGGTGCGGGGCCGGCGGGTGTTGGGGGGCGGCGCGGTCCGAGGGGCTGCTGTCCGGACACGGGAGGTAGTCGCGGTGGGGGCGGTGGGACGAGCCGAGTGGGCTGACCTGGATCTTCAGGGATGAGAGTGGATCAGCCAGAGCTGTGTTTTCTTTTGCTGAATTGTAGACCTTGATGAAGGTTGCAGCCCAGAACTTGATCCAGAACACGAATATTGACAACGGACAGTGAGTGCAGCCCCCTCCCCAGCCCTTCCCCGCGCCCCGGAATAGCCCTTCTCCAGTCCGGGACCGTCTTCCCCCATCCACTGGGACACACCCCCCTACCGTGTCCAAGAGATTGGGGCTCCCTGTGCACTGGCCCGACTCCTGTTGGGCCAGGCAGGGCTGTGCCCGGAGCGGGAAGCGCATTCCTCAGTCAGCCTCTTCTCTCGAGCTGTAGGAAGAGCAGTGATGGGCCCATCCAGCGCTTTGACAAGTGCCTGGAGGAGTTCTACGCACTGTGTGACCAGCTGGAGCTGTGCCTGGTGAGCACCTGCCACAGTGGCTCTGCGGGTGTTGGGCAGGGCGACAGGGTCTTCAGGAACCCCTTACCACTCGCTAGGCACTCAGCATTGTCCAGAGCCCTGTCCTCTGGAAGCTCCAGGCTCAGTGACCCAAGCATCCAGCTTGTTCCCCCCAAAGCAGGAGAGGCTGGGGGTGTGTGGTCCTGAGGAGGGTCTCTGATGTGAGATGGACAGTCAGCCTCCACCTGCAGCTCTAGTTCCTGAGTTGCAGGTCCCAATCAGCCCGGCCCAGGTGTGTGAGGCACCCACCAGACACCCAGGCGCAAAGCCCAGGTCTCCTTGACAGCCTCTGACACCGTTACTCTGTTGAGGAAATCAGTTGAGGGCTGTCGGGGAAGTTCAGGTGGCAGATGAGAGGTGGGCTGAAAGGAGGACCCCCAGGAGGGATTCAGGAAAGCTGGAGATGGACTACCTGCTCCCCCAGCCCCGGGGTCGAGGGCAGGTCGGGGGGCTGCATGCCATGGGACTAATGCACTACTGGGGAGGAGTTTGCAGGATGAGCCATGTGCCCCGTTGGCATATTCTCTACACTACCCCACCCCTGAGCCAGGGCATTCAGGAGGAGGGGAAGTCTGGGGGCCCAGAAATGATGCGTGTGTGAGGGCATGAGTGGTGCACCGGGCCGGGTGGGGTGGGGCTGGAAGGACCCCCCACCGAGCAAGGCTGATGCGGCGTCCTGGCCTGCCTTTCCTCAGCGCCTGGCACACGAATGCCTGTCCCAGAGCTGTGACAGCGCCAAGCACTCTCCCACGCTGGTGCCCACAGCCACCAAGCCTGACGCGGTGCAGCCCGACAGCCTGCCCTACCCGCAGTACTTGGCCGTCATCAAAGCCCAGATCGCCTGTGCCAAGGACATTCACACGGCACTGCTGGACTGTGCCAACAAGGTCACGGGCAAGACGCCGGCACCACCGGCCGGCCCGGGGGGCACCCTGTGAGGGGGCGGGGCAGGGCAGGGGGTGGGGTGGGGTGGCGCGCAAGCGCGGCAGCAAGGAAATGAAGAATGGCTTGAGCCAAAGCACTTGGCTGCTGTGATTGTTCTCGCCTGAGCCACGAGCTCAAGACCAGCAGGGGGCAGCAGAGGCCAGCAGGGCGGGCCCTTCTGCCCAGTGTGGGCAGTGGACTTTGGACTTTGGCGGTGGACTCCTGGGCCCACCCAGGAGCTCTAGGCTGTGGGCTGTCTTCCCACCTTGCCAGGTTGCGCTGCCAGGCTGGGCACCTCTGTGCTGCCCCTCTTGGCAAGTTGTCTCCATTTCCATCCTGTAAGTCCTGGGTCTTCTCTATTTTTAGGTATCTTTTTCTTTCTTTCTTTTTTTTTTTTTTAATCATTCTGCTTTTCTTGTGTCTCCTGTCCCTCACCTCTCTGTCCCTCTGGTCATGTTCAGCCTCTTGCTCCTTCCTGAGACTGACTGTGGGGGCAACCAGAACCCCTGGGTCTAAGGAGGTGGGGCTTACTGTCCTTCCAGGATCCCCCAGCCCTGCCTGTGTCAGTCCACCCTGGGAAAGGAGAAGTGGCAGGATTCTGGGCCCTGACCTCAGCAAGCCTGATGGGGGAGCAGCTTGAGCGCCCCCCTCCCGGCGCACACACATACACACCCATCCCCAGGCCCTGCGTCAGCGGAACGTGGGGTGAAGGGAATTGTGCAATCGGCAGGGAGGCAGGGCCTAGCTGAATGCCTGGGTCCCCATATTTTTAGCCCAAAGGAGAAGTGAAAAGGCCCCAAATGTGGTGAATCATCAAGTCCCGGGGAAGAAGCCAGCTCCGGGAAGCAAGCCACGGGGAGGGGGCTTTGGGAAGGGCCGGTGGACCCTCCCCCCAGGATCCCCGCTCCCCACTTCCCAGATCTCTGCTCTGGGGAGCTCAGCTGTGGCCTTCAGGCCTGGGCAAGCACAGGGAGGAGCCGTCAGCAGTGCGCAAGGCTCCAGTGACTCAGCCTGGCTAGAGAACGGCCCCGCCCAGCACCCCTGCACCCTGATGCCTGTGGCTCCAGAGCCCAAGGTCTCACACGGGAAAGTGGCCAGGGGAGGGAGGGGGTGTGTGTGTGTGTGTGTGTATCCCAGCAAATTGCTTCCCAGTGACTGCTGAAGTGCCAGGATGGAAGGATGGGTTGGCCAGCAGGGGAGAAAACTTTATACCCAAATGAGAGGGCCCTGGCCCTGCCCCCCTGTTGAACTGGGTCGGCCCCTGCGATGACCCACAGTCATCTCCCTCCCTGATGTCAGTTGATGATGGACTTTAGTCCTAGCTACAAAATGCTTCCACAATGCCATCCAGCCTGGGGTTTGCCAGGATGGCAGGATCGCACACAGCCCAGCCCCTGCCAGCTGGGCACCCACATCATCTTAGCCACACCTACTCCCATGATAAGCACACAGAGAAAGCCCTGTTTGTGCAGCTTGATGCAGGTGCCTTGGGTACTGTGAGAAGGAGCCGGCGCCACACGTTCACACACCACACCCGTGCAGGGGAGCCCACCACACCCCTGCAGGGGAGCCCAGTAGCAAGCTGTGGGCACGCATGCAAAGGACAGAGGTATAGTTGGTCCTCCAGGGGAGTAGCAGTGCTGCAGCACACACTGTCTGGAGGCCAGCAGTGCTGCACGGTGACTTCACGGTGCATCCCTTGAGGTATCCCAGGGTGGAGTGTCTGCTTTCACATTGCAGCCCTGTATCCCTGTCCAGTTTCCCGCTTCTGTGTACACAGGGGGGCAGCTGATGGCCCAAGTGTGTTGGAGACCCAGCTGAGGCCAGGGTTCCCAGCCTCTGCCTGCTCTACGCTTGGAGAGTATACCAGCAGGTGGACTGTCTGTCTGTCTGCCTTTGAAAGGATCATGGGCCAGGACTGACACGGGTTATAAGCTACTGCTTGGAGATGCCTGTATCTACCACCAACCCCAGTTCGAGTCCCAGCCGCTCTGCTCCTACTCCAACTGCTTGCCGATGCACCCTGGAAGCAGCAGATGGCTAGCTCAGGCACTCAAGTCCCTGCTGCCCACATGGACAACCCCGATGGAGTCTAGCTCCTAATCTCATCCTGATCCAGGCCCAGCTAAGGCCACATACAGAGCAATCAACAGAAACATGCCCTCTGCCCAGCACTCCGGGACAAGTCAGTTTGAACACAAAGATAGCCTAATGGCTAAAGTTCTCATCTTTCATGCACTGGAATCCCATGTGGGCACTGGTTTGTATCCTGCCTGCTCCACCTCCCTTCCAGCTCCCTGCTTGTGGCATAGGAAAGCAGTCGAGGACGGCCCAAAACCCTGGGACCCTGCACCCGTGTGGGAGACCTGGAAGAAGCTCCTGGCTTCAGATCGGCCCAGCTCTGGCAGCCATTGTGAGTAGATGTCTTCTCTCTAAATCTGCCTTTCCGGTAAAAATCTTCAAAAGGGGCCTGGCAGCATGGCCTAGCAGCTAAAGTCCTCACCTTGAACGCACCGGAATCCCATACGGGCGCCGGTTCTAATCCTGGCAGCTCCCTGCTTGTGACCTGGGAAAGTAATCAGGGATGGCCCAATGCTTTGGGACCCTGCACCGCGTGGGAGACCTGGAAGAGGTTCCTGGTTCCCAGCTTCGGATCAGCGTAGCACCGGCTGTTGCACTCACTTGGGGAGTGAATCATCAGATGGATGATCTTCCACTCTGTCTCTCCTCCTCTCTGTATATCTGACTTTGTAATAAAAATAAAATAAATCTTAAAAAAAAAAAAACTTCAAAAGAACATAAAACCACAACCCAAGAGATGCCCAGTTGGTCACCAGGGTGCTGAACGCACATGAATCACCATGCACGGTGGCAGATGCGTACCAGGAGGCAGACCATTCAACAGACGCTTGCTGAGCATCTGGCGCCAGCCAAGTCCCAGGTCCTGGAGCCCACGACCATGCCGTGGGAGCCTGAACGAGAGGACGCATAGCACAGCACAGCACGGCCGGCAGGAGGAGGGTTCAAGGCAAAGGCAGTGGAGTGTGACCAGAACCGAAGATCTGTAACCGCAGGAGACATGATGGGATGGAGAAAGCTTCTGGGCAGCCAGGGGTGGGCGGGGCCCGAGGGCTGAGCACCAGCTGGGTGCCCCCATGCCACCATGGAGCACCTGGGTCCTGTGTAGGCCTCCGGCTCCTGATCCCCCACCCCACCCCGAGAGGAAGTGTGATGGTGCCAGTAATTAGATCTAGCACAGACAGGGTCGTCTGTCTCTTCTGATTTAAAACAAAAGTGTTAGAACTTTGGTTGAGCAGTAGTAATTTCATAAACACTGCCTATAATAACTTGGTGTTACGTGCATTAATTGCCATAAATAAACAACAAGGTTGTTTCGTTTTTGGTTTTGTTTTTGTTTGAATCTCATTGAAGTGGTGATACAGCAGGTTTGAGGGAGACGGAGGGAGCCCTGTGGCTGTCCAGGGTCGGAAGGCAGGTGTGTAAGGGACAGTGAGGAGGCTGTGGCTGCATGAGGGAGCAGGGATAGGGCTTGGGTGAGGCCAGGGGACACAAGGACAGCCTCAGCTCTGCCAGCTGACTAGCCCAGCCCATCACCAACCACCTGGCCGAGTCCGTAAACAAGGCTGTAACCACCACTTAGGCCGCTATCTCTCACCCATCGCACTTTGCCCATCACAGCTGACTCAGCCCTGCTCTCCGCCAAACACGATCCAGAGTGGACTCGGCACGGATGAGGCTGGCGCGAACGCGTACACACACAAGCACTGGCTTCCCCGGTGCAAGCGCCTGTTCTGTCTGCTCCCACCAGAGGCGGGACTCAAAACAGCCCCGAGGGGGAGGGGGCAGGGGGGACACGGAAGGTCCCTCCCCTGTCACGCGCCTTCGTCCACGTCAGTAACCAAAGTTCATGGGTTTCACCACCTTGTGACTGGGCCGTAGAGGAACCGCATCCAGAGCGAGGCACAATCGTGGCTTCCCCTGCAACCTGACCATGTCCACACACCTGCCGGCTGGCACGCAGCCACCCGCGGGCTGCCACGCTCCGCAGGTGTGCACAGCCCCGCAGGGTCAGTCCCAGCGGTGACACACACGTTGTCAACTGCTGATCACAGCTACACCCAGCTGTGCAGATGTGCGCCTGGCGTTGAGGCCCCTTGTCCCCGCAGGTAGCACCGGCAGACAGGCTCGCACAGGAAACCCTGCACACCTGCTCCCCGACGGGACACCTCACACCCCCACCGGGTGTGCACACAGGGCTTCACTCATCGGGGTGGCCCCTGTCGCACTCAGCCGGCCCCACCCGCCCTCGCCGACAACCCCGCCAGGAGCGCGCACGGCCCAGGCACACGTGCCGCGCGCACACGGCAATCTGGCTCGCCCGCGCGTACACACACACACACACACACACACACACACACACACACACACACACACACACACACACACACACACACACACACACACACACACACACACACACACACACACACACACACACACACACACACACACACCGACTCTCACACCCCCGCGTTTCCCGTCTCTGCTTGTTTTTCTGGAAACTCTGCTCTCCGTTCCCCTCCCCTTGGGCCGGAAGTGCTCGCTGTATTTTTAGCTTCTCTGGTTTCCGCCCCTTTCTCCCCGCCCCGCTACGCGACCAGCCGCGACCCCCGCCCCCCACCTCCCCACCCCGTCCTCGCGCGCCCCGCGGGGACCCAGGCATTCCCCCTTCCCCACCGTCATTCCAGAGGGGATTCCCGGCCGCCGCTGGAGCCGCGGATTTTCCCCGCTGGCTACGTGGGGAACGGGGAGGAGTCCTGGGCGAACTTCCTCCCGGTCTGGGACGCTGAGGCTGGGGACGACTTGGAGGTGGGGGGGAAGAAGGGGGCGACCTTGATCCCTGGCTCTGAGGGAGGAGGGTAGCGGGCCCAGGACGCAGGGGCCTGGCTGCTTGGAGTCTGTGAGTTGTGAGTTTGGAGCAGAAAAGTCACAGCCTTGTCTCGTGCAAAG